GACAACATTGTTAATAAATCCAGCGGGTGTTTGAAATTTTCCATTGGAAACAAGTGGGTGTGGGTAGTCAGATTTCAGTTTTTATACAGCTACGTTCATTTTCGCAATATGTTGTTCTTTAAAGTGTGTTGTTAAAGTCGTTTTGATATCCTGGACTATGTATTATCCATGATTAATGCTAAAAGGACGCCTGCAAATACCAATTTTATATTAAGTCCATAAAATGGGTATATAGATTACTTTATTCTTGTTTGCACATTTGTGTCAGGCTTGTTTTCGTGTATTTCTTTGCCTACTTTTCTCTTTGTAACCTATCATCTTTGACATTCTATGGTAATGGGCGCCCGATCGAAGTTTTGACAAATCCGCGTATTTTAATTTGAAATTCTACTAGAACGAATATTATTCACTGGCATTATTCTCTGTGCATCCATTTCCAAATTTTGTCCATTCTCGCTGCCCACTTAGCATTTAGTGTAATTTCAGTCACTGCCTATCCATGTGGCTTCCATCACATTTCATCCTTCATTTCATGTCTTGGCCTGATTTATTGACCTACCTCTAGCTTCGTCTGCGCATGGTACTCTGAATATGTCTTGTTAGAGTGTGCGGCCTATCTCGTAACAGTTAAATGTACTTTTTTGAGATCTTTCCTATAAATTATTTAATGCTGCTTATTTTGAAATCCAAAATTCGATGCCTGGTATTATATTGAAATTTTGAAACACTTTTTATTGTGGAGATGTGTTATACTTTAACACTAATTCACCTCATGTGTTTGTGCTATTCCTGTGTTTTAGGTTCTTTAAAATGCACCGTTCGTCATCCTTCGTTATACTTGATGCAGATGTAGGTAGTATTGACTTTAAGCTGTTATGGTTTAGGTCTCTTTGCCCGGCTCAGGTATGATTTTACCTACTTGGAGTTAACTTGGAGTACGAGGTTTTATATGCCTACCTACCATTTCCAGAAAGCGAAGATATTGTGGGTTCCCTCTCTTCGGCTTCAATTGAATCTTCAAAGGAATCGAGTCTTTCGCCGGTGGAACTGATTGAAGCACCTCTGGTTTATGATCGTGCCGCATATAAAGCTGGTTTGGAACTTGAAAAACCACTGTACGATCATCGTAAAATTATTCTTTTACAAGAATTCAATGAGTGTTTATTTTTAGGCTGTGAGGATCTAGTCTGTTAGCCATTTTGAAGAAAACAGCTGACATTCCATAATATTCCCTGAATTATTCTAAGAACATTTTTTTAACTATTTACCAGCCCTCGTGCTTTCTTGTTAAGTTTGATTCTAACGAGCTCGTTGTAGTCTTAATCTTATTTGTGATAACACGGATTTCGCCGCTTAATCCTAGAAATTTTTTTCAAGATTTGTTATTGTATTGTTGAAATAATTTTCTTAATACTTTGATGTCTACACTACGTTTTGACGGTTATTTTGAACACTCTGTTCATCCTCTTTTCTTAGTTCCGAAGCAAATCTTCATTGTGACTCTGATGTACAATCCCCTGGTGTGTTCCAGGAAGAACCTTCCAATGAACCACAAGAGGTCCGTGAGACACAGTCACAAATAGTGGAAGCTCTTCATCCACTTCCTGAAAATCATGAAACAGCGGTAGATGAGCAAATACGGTCAGAAAGCAATGGCCATACGCAAAATACGGGCCAATTCTTCAATGTTTTCTTCCGTGTTATTGATGCGGTCAATAAAGTTTATGAAATTACAAGCCACATCGGTAAGTTATTCTTTAGTTACATGTTCTGCGTGTCAAAAACCGGCTTATTTTCTATTGTGCTTACACGAGCGGGCATCATCGTTATCTCACATAAAAATTCACACGTACACCTGTTGTAAGAGCCCATGAAAGACGTACTGTGTTCTTTGGTAGAAATGGTTTGCCCTTTTGCATGACATCTAAAGACCATGTGCACACAAAGAATTCCAAAACTTTTCTGGCCTGTTTCGAGTATTTGCCGCACCAATTTTACTTACCTTCTGTACACCTTCAGTACTTTTAGAAACCTGATCGAGTCCCATCATTTTATTCACTTACCTCTCCACTGTTAGGGTGAGTGGGGTATTATTTATCTACGAAAGTGCTTATTGAAATTTTGTCTGTGTGGTTCAAGTTAACATTAAGCCAGTTTTCATGACTGCTTCCTTCCACTATGCGTTTAAACGTGCCCTGATTTTACGCTTGTTTAGAAACGTAGGTAATGGTCTACATTGCTTTCGAATTTCGCTTTTGGGTGGCATGTCAAAGATTTATTGTCTCTAACTTTCTGATTGTCATTGTTTCGGCTAGCACTAACAGCGGAAATTATCTTAAGTACCTTTGCTTGTTGTCTGCGACCAAAATGACTTTCCACAGTATACTTAGAACTTCATATTATCAGATTTGCAGACCTCTCAGGGTATGTGCGTAATTAGGATTGCTTGCAACGTCACAGCTCTTTGTTGAGTCCAAATGCCCGCTTCCCAACTTGTGCCATGCTCACACTGATTCTTAGACAATAATATGGAACGGATATTAAGTGGGTCCACTCACTGTAGTATGAGGTTACACTCTACACTTTGATGGAGTTCAGCCAATATAACGGGACACCATGTATCCCATTTGACGAAATCCATACATGATCACAAAATGAGAATCCAGTGTCCATTATTCAATTGAGTTCTGTGTTTGTGCCCTCAAAAATCCCAGTTTCTTCTTTCCCGGTTTTTAAAATAAATCTTTTTCAACTCACAATTAGTTGAAATCGGTTTATTTGCTTCTTAAATTCTACTTTCTGTTGCCTTGGAAGTCGGTTTGGCTACACAGTCCTTAAGTGTTGTTATAACTCGTTAACGCTTTCACAATAACTATTTCAGTACCACAAGTCATTCAAATTCCTTGAAGCAAACAATCACTAATTAACAAGTCTCCCGTAAGCTCTCATATTTCAGATGCAATTGCGTCGGTAGAAGTTTTACCAATCAACTTTTTGTAGGTAGCTTAGAGGGTTTCGTGGGAGAAATAAGACGCTTTCCATTGAATGTTTGCTAAAAACTCCATCTCGCCAGATTTGTTTGCCTCCCAGGGTATGCACGTAATTAGGGCTGTTTGCAGCACTGGGGCTCCTTGTCATATCTTTTTACTCGCGACCTAACTGCCTTTAAAAATATGGCCAGGATGTGAAAAAGTAAAGTTTCATTGATCTCAGATGGAAAGCGTGATACACGTACATTGCCCTTGTTTTAAACGTCATTCCTTGCGAGGACCTCAAAGGTCATCCTAAAATTTGCTGTAATTAGGCAGTCAAAGTCATACTTGTTCCATTTTCCCCAATTTTTTAATGTTCACTAAGTACGTTTGCATGGTCATAGATCGTGTTAGGGTATCTACTATGATCTTATTCATGATTAAAATAAGAACGATTGAGTGTTTTTGGTTATGTTTGACCATTCTTAGCAAGATATATTTATTGTTCGTCATTGAGGAAAGTGTGATTGCAAATTTCACCAAGGCAGGCGTTGTCTTTTGCAGTAACGCTTAGAGCGGTGAACGATTGGGAATAAACGAGACGAATGAGGTGCAGTCTAGGTTCGGCGTGTAATTTCACGTCAGCACTAGAATTCGGGACAGCTTTGTGGTGATTGGTGATGCGTGTGATGAAGTCACGTTCTGTGAATGTTAATTTGGGACTTCGGTGCCGTGGTATTGGCTAAACCTTATCGCCCGAACTCATCCAGACCTTGGAGGCTCAGGTTGGTGTTGGATACGTAACAGGAGTCCTTTACTGTGGAAGTTGAAACAGAATGGTATTTTGCCATGGAGCTTCAGCTCCCCACCGCAGACCCTGGTACCCGCAGACCGAAGTGAAGGCCGACCAAGGAGTGCTATTGATTCTCCGAGTTGATGGTGACGTCTGAAGCCACATCCCAATTGTTGACGATGGTATGCGCTCGAATACCTGGAGCACTGTCGTTGGAGGCGGCCAGTGGGTTGAGTGAGGTGACGGCTGTCTGGGGTTGGGTAAGCCAAAACTGAAACCGCCTTGATATGGGGACGACTGTGGCTCCTCGACTGGACCAGCTTGGATTCATGCTGTAGATTACTCCAGTGTCTGTACTCGCCGCATATAAAGTGTCACTGAGGGAATTAAGCTGTCGGGTCCGATAGCCTACGAACTTTGGGGCTCAAAGGCCATAAGCGAGAATCCGGTATTTTAGTTGGTCGTCGGCCAGCGATCTAAACTGACATTGTAAGGACATCCGGTTGACGTCTGCAAAGTGGCTCAATATATTGTCTTCCTCCCTCATTACCAGTTTAAGAAACTGAAGTGAGGGGGGCTTTTGAACGGTCTCTTCGAAAAAGCGATCCCTTGGATTTTAAGGTCCTCGTCTACAGTGTTGGAGCCGGCCCTTTTATGCGTCGTTCTGTGACGCGAGGTCGATTCGAAACGAACCCTCGTATTGTCGAAGTTATGTTTCGATCTGGATTGTCGACAAACTCTGTTTCTACCTTTTTCGTCCTTTGTTTCTCATACCTCACTAAATATGATGCAAAATCGGACATTTCTTTTTTGCAGACAGATGTTCTGGAATGCAAACTGCTACATGATCAAAGAAGACAAATTATTTCGAAGGCTGCACACAAATTTTCGGATTGCGTTAACGTTAATAAAAGAGATATGAACTGTTAAATAAAAAATATTCAGCTGTTCGTGAGCACCAAGTGAAATGCTAACCGTCAAAAGGACGATTGCCCACATTGAAATGCAGTTCCATTTGTTATATTAACTTTGTACACGTTATGTTTGCGTAAGTCTGAAATCCTAGTCGGTCGATCACGTGCTCCGTTGCATCGTGCCAGGCGATTTTACGAGGGATCTTGTTTTTAATCTGACTGGGTGTGCTATTAATAGAAGCAAAGTGGAGCCGTCTCTTCGCACTCTTTTGTGCATGGACGTATGTTGAACAAAAGTGACATCGATTTTGATTTGTTCTTGCTGGCGGCTAAGTAAATGAGGCGTCCACTGATTTCAAACTACCTTTCTCGTGACGTGCGTAGTTGTTATCGTAAAAGCAACCAATATGTATTGATCGGTTAGCGAAATGCAGTTTGCTATATCTATAAAGACTACACCACAACTTATTGTTTAATCTGTATATCGATATGATTTATGTTCGGCTATGCAATTAGGCGGTGACTGCATGGATGTTATTTTTTTCTAAAATCTAGAATATTTGTAGCTGGTTGTCTGTGGTGGTAGGTTAATGTAGCGGCAAATAATTATCTTATGCTTTTCACCCATTACACCTGTTCCTGATTTGTCACATGGGAGTGATCCTTCCTGGTTTTGCCCTTTAACACGTAAATTTCCACAATGAAGGTCAAACGAACTTGATTGGTTGAGTTTGCGTGCTTATGAGAGTCAACGTCTCCCGTGGACAGCCGACCCCTTTGCTCCCAAGCATCGCAGTTTCCTCACAATTTTTTTAATCCTAAAATTTCGTTTGGACGTGGCCTAGGTTCCGTAGTATTAACTTGATCATGATGTTTCTCGGTTTATTTTCCTGGTTTTACACATTGGTTTTCGCCGTCTGTGTACTTAGTCTCACAGACGCCAGCGTGTACAAGTTGGTTCTTAGAAAAGCAGGACTACTAGCATGGGTTCGGTATAGGGTGGAGACTTTCGAGGTGAGATCACGAACTGCCAAGCTCTGCTTGAATGCCGTCTTTCATTATGAACTCTTTTGTTATTCCCCCTATGCAAAATTTCTCAATATGCAATGACCATTCTAAGTGTAATTCTTTATTTTTTAGATAATACCTCAAAGGTTGTAGCTTTATGTGTCCTCATAATTGGAGGTATGTTGCTTTTTACCAAATTTTCTAATTCCAACCCTTTCGACCGTAGTACTGCTTTCTACTGCAACTGTCTTCCTGGTAAGTATAGTTTTCTCTAGCGCCTGATCTCTTTAGTATTATGTTCGTTTAAGTATTTTTTTTTGTTTTTTTTGTAATGTCTATGTTAGTTATTTGTCCAAGCACTGTTTTCCTCAAGTTAACTGAAACTGACTTGTCTTACATGCTTTTGGAAATCAACCATGTATTATGATCTGCTTCATAGCCGCTACGTGGCTACTGTTGCATTTCAAATCAGCTACTTAGATGGCAAGAAAGTTCAGGCTGCTACATAGCATTTCCATTCACTATTAAAAGCGTATTTCGAATATTTACTGGCGTCTTATGAAAATTGTCGCAGCCCTCACGTATGTATGTCCAAAAAAGCCAAAAAATGCGCCTACTTTCAGTTCATTAATGTGCATTACTCAGAACAAAATGAAGCTTGCTCCATTGGCGAGCGGGTGCTCAGAATCCATTTTTTTTATTTGGCTTTGATTCTCAACCGGTTTATGGTTTTTGAACCTGCCATAAGCATTGATACGAAAAACCTACCTTGAGACCCCTTCGTGCCATTTTTTATCTTCTAATTCCTAAACACTAATCTGCCCTAAGGGCTCTGGCCTCTGGGCCACCGTGTGCGGAGTTATTTCTGCCCATTGATCCCCGCGACAAATCCAGGTGCCCAGTAGGGTTTGAAGTTGGAAAGTCACGTGTACATTCGCGTTCGTCTGTGACTTTTTGCGCCTGGACACTATTTACTCCCTCCCAGTTCACAATCCACGCATTTCCTTTCGCTGTTGTGTGAGGCTTGTTCTGTAGCAAACGGAAGTATCAGTGCAGCTTTGTTCTGACACTACTTTTATTCGCGTCGTCATTTCCGTACACAGGATTGTGTTCAGCTGGTGTTGGCACATTAGTCGTTTTTATTGCTGCTGTCCTTCGTTTTTTTACTGCAACAAAAAGGGCAGGTAGATTCCTTTCCACCACACAGCAATCTTTTATCTTAATCCAATCTCTATGAGTGGCAATGCCATTGTTCTAATCCAGTAATTGATTTTTGCGTTTCAGGGGTCAGGTTTATTGTCTAAAAGAGGAACTGAACTAGTAAATTAAAAAAATCATTATTTCGAGCCATTGGAAGCGGCTATAGGTACATCAACACTCCCCAATTTAACTGAGTATCCATTTTTAGCTCGAGTCGCTCACCTCGACCTTGCTGTTGGACGTGAAGGATAGGGTCATAGGTGACGTATAAAAATGCCATCAGGGTAATGTTTTTTTATTAAACACAAGTTCGTGTCAAATAACTCGACCCAGGAACTATCGATTACAAACTCTTAAGCAGATTAAAATCCTTTTGTGTAACGCCGTCACCTTTGTTAACCGCGGTACTTTTTAGCTCGAGTAACGCATGGCGTTTCACTATGCAAACAACCAGTGATTCCCTGACAGCTTTGGTATATCAGCCCTCGATTCCTATTTTTCTAGATTTTTTGGATATGCTTCCAAAATCAAAAGTCAAAAATGTGCGACCTCAAAACGTGTACCACTTTATATTCACCATAACCAAATAAATTGTATGCGGTTTGCGATCCCCCGAGATGTATGTCAGTTTATAAGACATTCCATTGGCTTGCATTTGCTGTGGCATTCATTCGGTTTGGGTTGAATAAGCATAATGCATTTGTTTGTTGCGCCGTTTTGGAGCTGTGATTGACACCTATCTTCTGCTCTGCTTTTAAAAAAAAGCTTTCAACTTTCTCCGCCTTTTTTTCCACGGTTCCTGTGCACAGACGTGATGTATCCCATGTGAATAATAGCCGTTCTTAATCTCGAGACTGAAAGTCCTATAGGCAAAAAAGGAATCGGCTGTACTAGTCGCGAGTCAATCGTGACAGCGTCTGTGTATGTCGTAACAACTGGCGTCTGGTATAACTAAGGTAAGGAAAACTGCTTTTCTCCACCCTTGCAGAAAAAATTTTCAGTAAAATCGGTGGTAGGGTACGTCTGAGCGATTCAACGCCTGGCGGGTCTATACCAGGACACGGTTCTCTCTGAACCCAGTTCCACATTTTTATGTCTTCCAACATTTTGTTGGTTCGTTTTGTGGACTGGTGCTTGATCAATCGATTTTTTTCCCATGGAGTTTGCGGAGTTGTGGCTTTAGCGTCTCTGGGGGCCAATCCAGCTTTAAGGCACTTCGCTGCCTCCGCTTAACTTTGTCTTCATTGCTTGTGGGTCGAGTTTATCAGGTAAACTTGTGAAATAATGGCGCTTTCCCCCATGAAGATGTTTCAATTCTGAGATGTTTTCTTTGTCATCGGTCATTGAGTTGCGCCTGACTGCCATCTTCAAATCGCCCGAAATGTGAAGGCACTTGTTTTTCCTGGTGGTCAGTGAAGCGCTCCAAGTCCAGTAAACCCTCCACAACGTGTTTCCACGATTGCTACCGCTGAACGACACTGCTGATTGGCGCGCGGGTCCATCAAAGTTCAGCCTACTTTTTTTGTGCAATGGTTCAAATTGCATATTTAAAATCATATGTTCCCACCTGTACTTTGGACTTATTCTTCATTCTTAGCTTCTCTGGAGCCAAACTTTACGTTAAACGTTTATTTCGAGGCTGTCCCTTGGTTGCTCGCCTCTTGCACATTTATTCGTTTTTTTTGCGTGTATTACAATTGCCAAGTTTGGTATTCTTGCATGTCGAGTTGCATTCAAATGTAGCCCCGAGGTCACCAACAAACCGACTTTCCCAATTAGTAAGCCTATCCGCATTTTTGACATGCAAAGTTTTATTTTTTCAATTCAAGTCGTGCGTTGCTTAAACCCGCGAAGTTTGAAATTGTCCTTTTATTTCACCGTTTTTATCCCAGGGATCTCTTTTTTTAACTACTTTTTTCCGTCACTAGTTGCCGCATTCGAAATCAGTGGTTGAGACCGGTAAGTGATCAATCACCGCGCGGGGCTTCCTCCCAACTACTGGTACCTTGCAATTTTGTTTGGTCTCTTTTATAGACTTCCTATCCTCTGATCCGGTTAACTGTGATGTCTCCGCCGAATTGGCAAAGTGCAAGCAACTGTTGAACTGGCGGCAGGAAAAAATTCAGCAGTTTGAGTCGAGTAAATGCATTTAAAGCAATGTGTTTCTAACCGCGTTCGATACAGATCCAGATGCCAGTTTTAGCAACCAAAATCCACGTTCTTCAAGAGCGAAGTCGTTAACTCCTACAAAGCGCATCGTTTTTTGCTCTAATAACATGACTATTTACCTTGTTTCATTACTCCATACGTCCCTAGTGTAGACTTCAAATGAGTTGCCTGTTTACAAGCCTTAATTGTTTAACTAAGCAGCTTTTAAAACTAATTAGCTTCCCAGGCAAATATCGTTCATTTTGTTTTTTTTCTCCTTTTTCACTCGCTGCCAAGTCGTTCATTTGATTTCTGACTTCTTGTATTTCCGCAGTCTGGCCCACGATTTCTTCACAACACGCTCTTAACATTGTAGAGCTCGAGAATCTTAATTCAAGATTTAAATCCTCGCAGCAATCACTTGGTGAATGCAGGTGGTCACTCTCGGATTCCCAGGAAAAGAATAAGAAGTGTGGTTCTTGTATGTGTACTATGCATTTACACTTGCTTACATGTGGCCTTCTTTCTTATTATCAATCCCGCATTCTTTTTTAGCGCTGGAGGGCCTGAAGAAGAAGCTAGAAAACCTGGAATCCCTCTATGAAAAGTCCCGCAATATGATTATTGAGCTACAGGACAAAATCATCAACTATCAGTCAGGTACTTTTTTTACTTTTAAATCGCATGCTCCCTCATGGGTACTCATACCTTAATGTCGGTGGGCTGCTTGAGATGGAATCCCAAAGTATGAAAGTAGTTTTTGCAGTGCCGCTTTTCTTGACCGGCGATGGTTTTCTTTGTCACGCATTTTTTTGTCGACAGCAGATTGTGCATCTCGGGTAAAACCTGCTCCGCATTCTCTTATCCTAAGCTAGAAATCTGCTCACACTTATGCTTACAGTATTCGATTATTTGTAATTAACTCACTGATGCCAAACCCTAAAGTTTAAAACCCACTAAAATTCTGGGACCTGCCACCGAAACTCCTGTGGGGAGATCGCTGACGACTTTGCATTTGGTCTTTTTGATGTTTCAATCTGAAAATATACTCTTGCTTGTGACGCTTACTAGATTCTAAATTAGTGTTTTGACCGATCTCAATGGTGTTAGTTCGTCCATTAATTATATGAAGTTAGTAACGTAATCGCAAACTAGTGTGTGTCTTAAAACGTCTCAATGCAAATTCAATGCCTTTCTTCATCCGCGATCCTATAGTTCATGTTTTTTTCAAACCAATGCTTCACATTGGGATCCTCTTTATTTTCTGCAGGTAAATTTCTGCGTTTTAGTGGGTTCCCGTAGTTGCCAACTTTTTCGTATGCAACCGTTCCCCCATAAATTTCTATTAGATGTTTTGTTTACTCAAAGGTACTCTAATCACGGCCCATCAATATCCATTTTAATGTTCCTACTCTTTTCTAATTTCTAGTCAGTTCGGTTGACAATGTCTGGATCACTTGGTGTGACATTTAATTAATCACTAGAGCATCACTCCATCGACTAACTTACTCCCTCTGTCCTGTCTAACGGTCTAGTTCGAGTTGGTCCTTCTATTTTAATCAAGGAACGGAAAAATCTAACAAAGGTCCAGCCTGAAAGCTTGGTATAGGAAAGAAAATTCGAATCTTAAAACTGCGACTTTTAGGTTCAAATTCTAATGAGTTTGAAGTAGTTTTTGGTTAAGTAGAAATGCCTAAGTTGTTTGTTTTGTGGAATCCAGCGTTTCAGGTGCCACTTTTTATGGCCAATACTTCTGCCTTCTCGAAAGGTTGTGGCTTGTCTGTTAATCAGAATTTTGGCGAATACTACTGATTCGTCCTGCGCCCCAGACATTGTTCACTCAGCATGCTTTAAAATGCATAGCGTGGGACTGGATATCGTGCAGAAAAAGCAGAAAACAGTTAACTGAATAAAATGCTTATTCCATGATAAGCACAAAGAAACGCAAACGTTACGCTTTATCTGAAGGACTCCTATGTATTTTTAATTAACCATTGAAAATGTCGCAGCTGTCCTTCATAAATTTTTTCCTAATGAGAGTAATAAATTGATTTTGTTTTTCATTGGACCGTTATTGTGCATTTTTTATGTACTTTTAGCTTGAAAGTGCACATAGTGAATAGCTTTTGATTGAGAATTCAGATTATTTTCTCTAGACTGAAATATCTCTTTAGTAATCGTTTGATCGATTCAAAGAAAAGAAATTGCAACGTGGCAGTTCTTTTGTGCCTCATTTTGTATTCCTGAAGACAATCGCATTTCACCTCCTTTTAATGCGTGTACCGTGACTATCCTTGACGAATTTAGTGTGAATTCGTACGTTATGCCATATTAGAAAGGTGAATGAAGACTGGTTAAAATACAAGGCAAATTCAAAAGCTTAAAGTTGCGTTTTTTGTGTGTCTTAAAAGTAGCTAGATTAAATGAATGAAAAATCTGACTTCTGAAAATCATTAAAGTAAGGTATCAAGTTGTAATTGGTTAAGCTCGTGTACCTCGTAAACGTCAAAACATTTCGAAGCGAAGAGAAAAATTGAAGATAAATAGGAATGGCGGTGTTACTGACCTTTCTTTTAGCGGTGTTATAACAAAATGGCTGTTTAGATTTCCTCTTCGCTTGCTCTTTTGAAGTTTGTGCTCGTGGTATCTGTTAAATCCGCGCCATGGTTAAAGGAATGCTTCCGTATAGTCGAGTTTAATGAAGTTCGCAAGCCAACATTAAACGTTTCATCAAATTACGTGCCTTTATTTTTCACAGACGAGCCTAGTGAGAGACAGCCGTTTTTCAAGAAAGCGTTCGATACGCTATTTGGCCACTCCTGGGGCCGTGGACATCGCGGTCGTCGGAGCAGACGACGCACCTGAAGCCCAACAGTGCATTACTCTTGCTCGTTGTCAGCTCGCCTGGTTATCAAATCCCTCCATGAAAGCATCTAATGCCTATTGGTTTTAATGCATGCCTGTCCCTGTTTTCGCTAAGACTTTCTAGTTTTGTCATTTCATAGCTATTTTTTATCATTTTTATTCTCATACTAAATACATCCAATCATTTCAGTCATTCACATAGTGTTCTTTTCCACATTTACTTTTGTGTCCCTTTAATATTACCAGTGAGTGAAGTATTTGAATGGCTACACACACCAAGCAAAATGTCACACCACGCCTCATTGAAATTCTAGTAGTTAAGTACATAGTATTCGGGTCGGAGTTTCTTCGTTCTAAATTTCTGGTAGCCCCTCGAAGGGCATAAGGACGTCTTAAAAGGAATCCAGAAACTTCAACAAATCTTAGCTTGATCTCTTGTAATGCATTGTGAACCAAATTTTGGCGTACCGTAATTGAATCCCTGGATTAGCTTACGGCCTATTTGTAGCGTGCTCTATTGGGGCCCTTTACCACACGAAATAACCCAGGCAGAAAACAAGGTCACATGACCAAAGCGGGTGGTGGTGGTACATGCAGAGGGTTAATGAACCTGTGGCCTTACGTGACTGACGGGCACGCCGTGGAAGAGGGTGACGTGTGTTGGAAGCTGCGACGACTGGGTTAATGGTCGTGAATCAACACGATTTACTACAACTCCACCAAGAAAAGACTGCTTATGTTGGGGAAACTAGCATCCTATTTAATTGGCTAAAACCTGCTATTTATGCGTTTTGAGGGCGTGGGCTTACATAAGGCATTTTTTCAGACTGGTTGCAAAACTGTTAGCTTGTCAACACTACATTCTTTACGTAATTCCCATTACCTCACTCTAGCTTCTGCTTTTTATTACCCGTCCTTGATATTTTTGTTTTAGGCTTGCTTGTATTGTTCTGAGAAAGTTTAGATTAGTATCCAGCAACTCCAAAATTGCCCTCTTTAGCATATTGAGGTGGTTGTCTGTAAATGTGTTTCATGCCACGTGCTGAAGACACAAGGAACACATCAGTGGTCAATACCGCGGCAGCACGCATGGACAGCGCTCTCATTTTGTCAAGAAGTACCTTTTTCTAATAGAACTAGATAAACATTACTGCTGCGTGACGTGATTCAAAATAACAAAATAGAAAATCTTCGTTTTCAAAAAAAAATATCGATTTTTTGGGTGTTATACTTTTATTATAACGTAAATAAATGCCATGCTGATAATTTCTGAGGCTAGACAAAGACAGTATCTGGTTTAACCTTGAATAATTAAATCAAGTGTTTTTACTTTAGCATTTAGTCATGCATAACGCACCTATTGTTTATGTCGTAAATTGCTCAAATCAATTGTTTTGAGGTGAGTATATCAATTACTTTACCGAACGCTTAAGTTGGTTACTTTTAATCAGAAATATCTAAGTTGAATTTCATTGTTTTACAAAGGTTTTGAATTACAGGCTATAAATTTAGTGAGTGAAGCTTCTTTATTCGGTATATTATCTTAATTAATGAGTTCAATTGTTTTGTTTAATTTTTCTGAAGTAATTGAAGGTCTTATCTCCTTCTAATTGGTCTTGATGCTCCATCGCTTGAATAACCATTTCCTTCTTTTAATCTCATTGGCTGCTAAGTTATGGAAGCTGTTTGACCATTTGTCCACCATCTTGGCGGTTCTCGCCTGTGTGTTCAAATGGACCCTCGCAATCTAGGTGCCCAGCAAAATCCACTGCCTCTTCCTAACAACCCCCAATCTAGCTATATGCAGTCGCCCATAAATAAATTTGGTAGCAATGGACATGCTGCATATATGCAGCAACCTATGCGGCAACCAGGTTTTCACGTACCCCCTCGAATGGGCCGCAATGTGGTAACTGTGGGGCCAATGACCGGAAAATTGCAGCAGGTGGTAATGGGGTCTACCCTCCTTCATAATTGCCGAGGATGATTCAATATGATGTCTTTTTAGGAGAGTCTTGGGGAATTTTCGACTGATGGTCTTCTTCCTATGCAAAACCAATCCATGGGACCCAACTTGAATATGTCGGGAGATTCTATTCCTGGAAGTTGCCAGCGTGGGCCGCCTCTTTATCAGCATCAAACGCCGCCCTTGATGATGCCTAATTCTGGTGTAAGAGGGCCTCAAATTCCCCCTCAACAGCCGCAAACAATGTTTAATCAGATGTCAAGCCAGATTCCTATGGAAATGCTGCATCAACAGCGTAAGCCGTTTAATTTATGATGACCATGTTCTTTTTACGTCAAGTAACCCCCCCTAGGCTCTTCGGTCGTTAGAAGAAAATATTAGTTGGGTTATGTCAGTTGTTGATCTCGTAATCATCGTCTAAATTTAATTTAGTGCATCGATTGGCCTAGATGATAAACATGGCTTGCATGAGAATTGGCTGATGCATCGTGTCCAACACCCAGGTTACTACCCTCATAGCTAGCCACCACAGTAGACGTTTTGTATTATTTTTACGAAATCTTCGTTTCAGGATTTCAACCCCCACAACCACCCAGTGGCTCACGTTTTCCGGGAATGTCACCGCCTGGCCAACATCCTGCAGAAGTCAATATGATGGGGCCAATGTCAACTCCTGAAGCTGGACCCATGCCTCCCATCGGTCATCCATCGCCTTACGATGTCGGCTTTGGCGTTAAATCTATCCCTGGAAATTCCAGTGTTTCTAGACAGTTACCATCCCAGCAACAGTTCACATCACAACAGCTAAACATATCGTCACCAATACCATTGTCTCAGTCACTTCAACAACATCAGCAACAACAGGCCCCTATAATGTCTATGAGAAGCATGGAAAGTAGGTGTTCTCGTACTTCTAAACCCGCATATTTGAGGTATCTCAGTTAACTTCAATAAGTAATTGGTACAAGTCGATTAATCTCACCTTTGCATATTTTATATTACCTGATGTTTGTAGCCGTATATTTTTCCTATTAACTATGACCTGGTCCACTACGTCATGACTTTAGTGGTATTTAGTTTTCATGTCGCCTTGCGCATTGTTTGTACCTTAACATCACTTCATTTCTCACGGAACATATCAGACTATGGAAATCCACCTTTGCTCTTGTCAACGCCGAATCCTCGTCTTTTTAAAATGCTATATTAGTAATGGTTGTGCCCGAAATAACTCAGCGCTGCCCCAGATTACCTGTTGCCGTTTTTCGTGCATCTTCTCGACCGTTAGGTGTCTTTTATTGCCAAAGCCACAGTATAATTTGTCTCACGTGTTACAGGCAGCTTTGGTTTACATAATTCATGGCACGTCAGTGGTGGCTATGGTGTCATTTATTGTTAATCGAAAATTATTGGTGAACTTACAACTCTATAGTTCGTGTACTACTCTTCACTGAAAAATTAACCACTCTAAATCCCTCTAAAAATTGTTATGCAAGCCCACAATTAGGTACAAAGTATTGTGTCTTAACCATTCTTGATGCCACGTTGAACGGGGATATTTTTCAATGACTTATGTTTTTACCCAGAGTTTAAAACTTCGGACTCGAGTAAACCGTGAATTTGGGGCAGTCTTAATAAAGAGTCGTAGTGCGTCTGATTTATTAATGACGCTTTCTTATTTTTTAACGGTCGTTGATTCAATTACTTGAGTTCCTTTATCCTTTTACATCTGACCTTTTTCCAGCAAATATTCCACACATTTTTATTATGAAATAATTGCGATAGCAGTACTTCAAATTCGGGTGTTTTTAGAAGTATCAAGACGAATTCCATCATCATTACATAGTTTTCGTCAAATTACCTTTTTCCATTCATCATATTGCGAAGCCCGTTTTGATTTGATCACAATCTATTAGGTACGCTTTATGGATTTTTCAGACCTGTTGCTTGATGCACCGAATTTTTAATCCCATCCGGTCTTTTTTTTCTTTCAGTACAATATCATATGCCTTCTGTCTGCCATCTTATCATTTGAATGGGTACATAATTAATTAGACTGTACTAAAATCGACGTAAGGTTGATCTACCCTGTCCTTTGTGTTAGTCATGTAGTCAAAATGTTGCTGAATTGTGGTATTAGTCCTTCCACTTTGTTAAGTCTGAATGTTGACTCTGGAGACTCAGTTTAGTTGGTTAAGACTTGCTTTGTGTTTTAGACTATAAATCCCACTAACCGTTGCGGAGGACGTTGTGGTGTTGTGCATCTCTAAACTTGTTTGATTTCGGTTAGTTTTACTCTGAACTCGTTTGTGTTGTACTTTGTAGTCCCCGATGCTACTAGACAACCAACCCGCCAAATACCAGTGGAATTGCAACATCAGCAATCACTGCAAATACCAACAGGCCATCAAACACTCGGCACTGTCCCTCCTTTACCCCCTCCCGGTCCTGCAACCCAATTTCCCGTACCCACACAAGGCACTCTGTGTTCGCTCTGCTCCCGAGATCTAGCTGGACCTCCCGCTCCCACACCCCTCTCGCCCAAGTCACCCCCCACACTGCTTCCATCCCAATATCCTCCGGTTCAATGTGAAGCTGGTTGCCGAGAGTGGTTCCATTTGTCGTGTTCCGGCCTGACCCCCGAGGCTTTTTACCTTCTTAAGTCTGAGGGGCCCCTGGTCGAGTGGCTTTGTACGCCATGTGCAACTCGGACTTACCCCAACATACCCTACATCCGCCTGCGTCATTAATTTGCCCAACTCCCACATACTGTCATCATTGCATTTAAACATTGTCCTCTTATTCACATCTTTGTAATATAACCAATCATAATGATCTCTGCACGTTTTCGTAGGTTGTTTGAACGTGTAATTTGTTCTATTTTGTCTGAATTTGATTCTCCCTCTAATTTTTATAAATTCCGGACAAGTTGCCTCCCAATTTCTGCTCTTGTCCAAATAGAATTTAACAGCGATTTTATTGAGCTGGGTCACAGTCTACAATTTTTTTGCTTACCTGTAATGCTTGCTACATTGTTTGGCGGCTTGGAGATAATCTTGTTCCTCTTGCGAACTGTTGCACAATCACCTCTCGCCTATTTTTTTGAGCTAATGCCAATTTAAGGACTCCTCTATTGTCAAGTGAATATGGTGAATACGACAGTGTTCCACAGCGATGTCGGGGTCTTCAGTCGACCACTTTAAGCGTGGGGTCTTCCGTTTTCATTCAGTAAGGCACAGGACATCTTTCCTGGAGTCCTTTCCCTCCAGCAAGCGTACGTGAACGGCCGCAGCAACACTTTAAAGTAGATGATGCACAATTCAACCATACATAGCAAGATTCTCGTTAAATTCTACTTTTTAACGTCTGTTGTTTCGTTCTTTCTGGGAAAATTTCCCATTCCTGGTTAAGTTTTGCTTCCAGGAGTTGTATTGCGGACGAATTTTGCCCCTGCGTTTTGTTGACTAAACACATTAGTAGTCATTGGTCATCTCTCATCTATTTTGTTTGCTAGATTTTACTATAAATTTTAATTCTTACACGCGGTTGGTAGGTCATGGTTGTGCATTCAATTTCATCGACACCCCCTGTTTGTCGTTGGGTTTTGTTCGATCAATACCTAGAACAACGTTAATGTATGAAGAGAAAATTGGTTTACTGTTTAGAGGTAAACCTCTAGAATGAAGCCCGCATGACGCTTGCGCTGCTCTTTTTCAAACTGCTTCACTACTGTAAACACCAGAAGTACTTGCGGCACCAAATTTCGCTTTGCTACTAAGTCAGCCATGACGTCAAGTTAAATTGCGTATGTATGCTGTAACGCTCAGATCTAAGGACTCCAGCAAGTTTGATTAGAGTGCCTGGGACTTCAATCCTGAATTTCAACTGAAAGGCAATTTTCCAATTGTTTGTAGAGCTATATTGCGTGGAAATTAGTTGGATAATTCTCGTAGCAGTAATTGCATTCTGACTGCAACGGAAGTAATTTCTGGCTCAGCGTACTATTGTTCTTCTTCTGTTACACGTATTCAAGGAAATAATTACCCGTGATTACCAGTACACCAAGGTTGTCTCTGGGTGATTCTACGGACGGTTATTACTGTGCTCACACAGGCCAAATTCTAGTGTTTCATTTCCAAGCCACCATAGAATTTGGTAAAATAAGTGACATTCCTAACCGGCTAATCCGCCAATGTAATTGATTGATCCGCTGAATGCGTCATCCTCTAGACGTCAAGTTATAAAGAGAACCATATTTCTTAATCACGTGTGAATCACCGAAGTATGTGCGCGTACTATCATTTTCCAGCACAGTTGTACCATCAATTGCATAGGTCAGAACATTGTAATTCATGATTGAGTTTGTTAAGGTGCTGAGTGTATTTGAATTACAATAATTGCGTAAGTTGTTTGTCCGATGTAATGAAGAAAACATGCTATGCGACTATATATGTGTGGCAGATGACCCAAAATTAGCGAGCTACAAAGTTAAACATGCATAAAAATTCAGCCGTCTCAAATTTCACTCATTTTGCGGAAACATGACTTCTCTAGACTACCACAGCATAAAGTTAATCTGGCTGTATTTTACGGGCTTAATTTCCACACAATTTGTAATGCAACTTCTGTTTGCTACAATATGTTGCCAGCGTATGTACTACAGTTGATTTTGACACTTGAATGAGATACAGCCCACATCGTATGCTTATTAGTGTTATTTTTTTGTTTTAACCTATGCAGCCATGCCTACTTTTGCATATATTTTGGGATATTCAACATCTCTCCTAAGGGAATTTTCAACACTTTATTTGTAACGTGACTAACTTATCAAATTTCGTCAACTTGTTATGCTCTTTCCTAAAATGCGGTCGAATAAATAATCATTTTTATTTGCTTATGACAGAGTTGGGATAGAAATATTTTGATTTTCTACTTATGAACTTGTTTTTTGTCAAAATGTCCAGTGCATAATGTTCCTCCCATCTTTGTTGACTCCATCGACATTCCTTTGATTAGTTATTAGGGCTTGTCACATTATTATTCCACATGTACAGTTTTCCATTTCCATAATCTAGAATTTAATTATTTGTTTAATTTTCTTGTCCTTTCCTCGCCTTCACGTTTTGGCTTCATAACCTTCAAGTACGGCGAATGTGCGTCGATAACGTGAGCCACACGTGAAGCCGTCGTTTATTCTAGTCCAATCAGTGTTTTTCCCATCGGTATTGGTTAAATGTAGGCCAATCACAATCAAGCTTTGCCCATGGCAGGGTTTTGTTTTATTTCCAATCGCTTATAATTCGTTGTGTTAGTGGTTATTCGGGTTGAAGCATTGAATCCAAGCCAATGGTATGTACTTTATTGTACAGTTTTACGATCGTGTTCACTTTCTTTACCCTCTCAGAGCACAGAGATTTAGAGCATCATTCTTCAAAACTCATGCTTTAAGTGTTTTTGTTACCGGAGGCTTATCCATGGTTCTGGCGTGGAATCACCAAGCTTATGCATTTTCCATTCACAATTGGATTTTGCTCAATGCGCTATTAACAGAATCTAAATTTTCCTTCATTTTTCATATTTCCTTTGGGCTTTCCCTAATCCGTGTCACCGATTTTATTCCTGACGTGTTACACAATAACTTCTCTAATTGTTACATCAGGGCATTAGATACTTTTTTGTGATGGGTTTCCGAAAGGTCATATGATGCTTCCGGTCATCTGATTAGCGTCAGCTTTGCGTCATTAGATTATCGTCCAAACTTACCGACGCACTTGACGTGCTATTCGTGGCGCCATTGTAAAAAACCTATTGCATATGCAATACTCGTGGTTCATTGTCGCATTAGGACAAATTGTGATAAATTTTGTCGTTTTTTGCTACTACGTGAAAGATATTGTAGCCTCTCGGGCCAAAGTCTTGTACCTGTTTTAAAATTGTTCACCAATTTTTTTGTTGAGTTATTCGCGAATTTCGGGGTTGTTGATCTCGTGTGTTAATGTAGTAATTCTTTAGCAGTTCCCTTTTGTGTTTAGTCATTTTGCTAAACTGAGTTGGATAAGTAGGTTCAACAAATTATGCCAAGACTTGCCTCATGTAGGAGATATGTGTGTGATGCTGACATTTGCGGAAACTTTCCAATAATATTGGTTGACAGACCATTCTGACTTGTTTTGTGTAGTTACCCAATATCCTGTGGGAAAGTTTTATAGTAATTGTGATTCCTGGGTGTATTTTCTGTATTTGATTCAATGTGCGCAATCTCGCCAATGTTGTCACAAAGTTTTCAGCCCCCAAATTCATCGAAACGATGTATTGTTTTAGACTCAGTATTTGTTGTGCCGTAAGCGAAATGATTTCGTTAATTGGAACCTTTTTATTTGATTATCTCCGGACTTTTCTATCTTGTTGCATACTGCTTTATAAAGAATTTTTTGCTTTTACAATCAGTAACACTTCAGCCTCCCATGTTTTTCTTGCATAGCGTTTGGAATTTTTTACTGACTAACTGTTTTACTCATTACCATATTTTTCAAATCAGGTAACTTTTGTTTGGGTTATTCACTTTCTGCTTATGTGTGTTTAAATATTGGGGAAGTCCCACGTCCCTAAGATGTGGCCCAGTGCTTTAGTAAATAACGTTTTCTTATCGCGCAGTTTGTGCCACTCCTCGATGCGTCAAGGCACTTTGAATTTCATCATTTATTCGCATTCGTTCTGCAATTCCAGTATTTTAATTTTTATTTCTACTCTTGTATTGATAGTAACTCATCCTTAGTCGCATTAAACCATTGGTAATTTTGAGACCTAAGTCGCTTATAAAAATCATTTACTAACAATAACTTAATGGTTTTTTTCTTGAATGCAATTGCTTTGTGTGCGGAATGCGAAGGGCTGTGTTCACACAGTGTGTGTTATACCTGTTCAACTAACTTTTGTAACTAAATACTTACATTTATCGTCTCGTTTTCTTCCGTCAATGGCAGTTGACTGTTGCATTCAAAACCTGTCGTGTGTATCTTGCTTACTATTTGTTTTTTGCCCTTAACATTTACCGGTGACAAAACCTCTATCAATCTGCCAATTAAAACGTTTGACCTTTCCTGATTTTTTTGGTAATTTCCGTATTTAAAGGGATGCATTCGTGACAAAACTGTTGCTCTGCTATGTGGATCGCGAATAACCAGTCCGAGGTGGTGCGATTACTGTAGGTCATTGTTAGGTCACACCAAATTACTATGCCATGACATGTGACCGTGCCGACCTGTGCATTGCAGGCTTGGCGCAGTGCCTTTCGGTAGTATGAGGGAACCCATAAATAATCGTAGCGCACTTGTCGTTTACACGCTCACTTTTGTTAATTTACGCTCATCGCAATTAACCTATCTGATGCAATTACTCTTCATTGGTTTTGTAGGTTAGGCACAGTTACTACTGGATGTTTTTCGTAGCCCTGGTGTTGCTGCACCAGACGATGTCTGTTGTGGGCGGTTCAGCCTCCTCCATTTCGCCGGGAAACTTAACGACCATATCAGAGGACGACATGCGTCGCCTGACCTTTGTTAAGTTGGGTGTCGCCGTGGGCATGTTTACAGTAACTGCTATAGCCTGTGGCTTTCCCCTTCTCATTATGACCTGTATCACAAAAAGGGACCGGTCGCGGGGTAATGTCACCGCTGCCAACTTCCCTGGTGGCTCAAGCCCTGACTATGCCTCTTCTTCTCTCGTCTCTCATGTAAATCACCACTATCTTTACACAATCCTTGCGCCCTTCACCAAACCCAGGTTTAACCACAAAGTTTGCTAATATTAAGTCATGCCAATATTGTCGTTTACATAATTGTCCACACTAATGTCATTCATTTAATTGGTGAGTGTTGTTGCAGAACGCAGTTCAAGATGATCCGGAGGCATCGTTGCCCACCCTCCTGCTCGATTCGCCAGGCGCCGAGTCGGAGGAGTTGCTCCTGAATCGCGGAAACGACTCCCACCTGCCCGATATATCGAGGGAATCGAACCGCGGCCCCTTCTACGAGGTCGTCAGTCGTGACGGAAGCCCCACGTCGATGGCTGCTCCCCGTGAAAACGACCGCCTTCACTGGGAGAATTCAGCTGGAAATCTTGAGGCCGAGGTCAGAGATAATGATGCGGTAAACAGCGCCGCTGGAGGCCACGGAGCTACTTCATCTTTCCCAGTAAAAATGCCTCAACGGCACGAGTCGCGACGGAGGTTGTGCATGATTCGCAAGTGGGCTAGTAGGATTAATTGCTTCGCTGCAGGAATCTTCCTCACCACCGGTACGTCAGCCCTTAAACTCTTCCTCCTTGTACGCAGCCATTTTTTCAACGTAACAAATCCGACAATCTTCATGTAACGCTTCTTTTCTGGCCGTCTCTGGTAATCAAATTTTTTTAATTGACACCGTTTAGAACTGAACTTGACTGCCTCGTCACGGCATAAACTTGCTGTCACAAGTTCTGTTGCTCCAGACACAAAACCCAGACCTGGTTTCACTTAGCCACACAACGCGCCAGCCGATTTCGCACCAAGTGTAAACAATAAGGCATTGGTGTTTTGGTTCATCCGACTAGTTTTTACTGATGTAAGCCAATAATCTTGATATTGCCAACCAAAACGCTTTTCGAACCTTCAGACTTAGTTGAAATGCGGAGATGTCTTTTCATGAAAACAAAAACCCACGTGTATTGTCCAATACCCTTTAAACTAATAGCTACTAAAGTGCGTATTTTGCTTGTCAGTTGCTAGGTTGTAAACAACCAAATACTGCGCCTGTATTCTTTGTTCATTCACTTACTTTCCCCGCTTTGGCTAGGAAGTTACTGTTCAACTGATCAACCGCTATCGTAGTGTCTCGTAGCCTACGGCCTTAATTTCCCCATTTTTTACCATCATCATTCTTCTTTATTGCTTTTTTCTCACATTTGGACCTGACTGGCTTATAACAGATACTGGTGGTATTCCACTAGCCTCCATCTCGATAAGCCTTTTTCAGTGCATCTTTAGATCTGCAGCCGGAAACCTTTTGAATCTTCCTCTTCTCCCCACACGGCCACAATTTTGCTTTGAGTTTAGCTCTTTTCTGTAACTCCAAAGGTGTCCACACAAAGTTTAATGAGGTTCGTGAAAAGACTTCTGAATGTACATGCTTTAGGCAAAGTTTGTTTATTTTGTGAAAATGCACAGGCCATGGCCTTGGTCGATTCATAGCGCCTGCGTAGTTGTACAGATCCACAGCCATCTGTCGAATTCGCCTATTACAATTATAGCGTTGTGGTTCGGACTACTGCATATTTTAATGAAAGCATTAGTAGCCAGTTAAACCATTAATGGTCAACATTATGTATTTACCATGTAAAATCCTTATTTCCAATTTTAATGCGTTTTTGCTACTGCACTTAACGTTTTTTTCTTGAACTTCGCGGAGTAACAAAAACATCAGTGTTGCGTAAACACGAAAGTATGTGCATTCATTGGTAGCCGAGGTTACGGCGGGTCTGTTCATCGGGAGGTGACACTTGAGAAGGCGGAGTGTCGGTATTTTTCCTTTTTACAATTCGCATGATGCTAGTGTAAACAACTGTCTGTTAAAATTTCGGTCTTTTTCTAAATAAGCAATTGTGAGGTCGATCACGCCAAAACGACAAAGGCAGTTCACAGTAAGCCATGCTTTGTAATGCTAGCGCCGTGCATATGTGTTATCATACAAATTACGAATATATGTTAATAGCACGTATGCAACGACAAATGAGTTCGGAAGCATAGCTTACTTCGTGTGGCACAATGCACTGCTTGTTGAGTGGACCCGAAATGCGAAATAAAACACGGTGACCGTGGCGAACAAGTATAACTGTAAATGTGATAAATCTTACAACTTGGGATGATCGCATTATCCAAAAAAAATGTGACGTTTTTTTCCTGCAAATCAGCTCTCGTGGTCCACAAAATGGGACGAGATTTATGACAGTTCATCGTTGATCGGTTTTGCTTTTCATTGTTTTCGAACATGTGGGTCTAGATTCTTTAAACCAAAACAACTTTGTCGATTAGATTTAAAAATTTTGAATTTCTGTTGAACAATGTAGTACAGTACATTATTTTAAATGATGTATTTTTCCTTATTGACAATAGTTAAAGGATGTTTTCTTGTTGTTACTTGTGTTTTCACGCCCGCAATTCATTAACTATGTTCTTTCTATCTTCCCTAGGTCTTATGGATCTCTTCCCCGAAGTGCAAGACGCCATGGCATTGGCCCTGAGCTCACTAAAAATTAATTCCGATTATCCCTTCTCTGCACTCTGTACACTTATCGGTTTCTTTCTTGTTCTCTCCGTGGAACAAAGTCTCCACGTTTGTTACTCCCAACGTCGTCGGCGACACGGCTCAACGGCCGCCACCGAACCTGCCTCCCTCAACCACAGCCATAACGTAATCCTTAACTATGGCAATGATGGAAATGCGTCGACATTTTTCCGAATCATGCTTCTCCTCATTGCGCTTTCAGTTCATTCCGTCTTTGAAGGACTGGCTGTTGGCCTCCAACGAAGCATATCCGAAGTGGTTACTCTCTTCTCGGCCCTCCTACTGCACAAGGTTATAATGGCAGCCAGCATCGGGGTCTCACTCGCTACAGCGCGTCAGCAGCGTGGCGGCATTGTTAAGTCCCAGTGGATTGGAGCTTTGGTCTTTTCTTTTGCATCACCTCTAGGTGTTCTCATTGGTTGGGCTTTGATTGCACAGCAGTCGTCGCCTACACTGCTTATGGCCATTGCGGTACTGCAGGGGTTGGCCTGTGGCACCTTCTTTTTCGTGGTCTTTTGTGAAATGTTGCCCCACGAGCTTGGAGAGGATACAGGGCTTGTACGAGATAGATTGGGGAAGATGATCTCCCTAGTTCTTGGCTTCGCTTTGGTTGCTGGCTATATTGCTTTTGAGCCCAAATGAGAGAAATGGCTCCATGTGAAATAATATCGAGTGATGGTACTCTTTTATAACATAATATTAAATTGTATGGTGTACTTCGATTTTATTAATTTCTGTGATTTGTTTCCCTCCTTTCTGTCTTCCCTCATCACTGATTTAATACATTCGAATTAGGGCAAGTACTTATTCAAGTATGGTTGGGATTCATATTTCTTACGTTAGTATGGAATCCACTTGAATAATTAGGTGATCAGACAATGTTGTCTCTGGTGCCGTATAAAGTCACTCTCACTGCAGATTGGAGGACCTGGCTGTGAAATGTTCCTAAATGTTTTGTCTGATGCGTCTGCGGTATGAGATTGTCGCCAAACTTCTTGTCAAGGTAGTGGAAGGGCTGCTAAATCTACTGCTGGTGTTCCCGAACTGATTTGGGATGTCTAGGCCGTGGTGTTTATTGAAACACCCGTTTAGCGAATTGCTATGGCTAGGGTTAATTTTTAGCCTGTCGGCGGCAGTGTTCCATAGTTTGAAATAGGAACGAGATAACTTTCTCTGGAAGCCAAGCGGTCAGGATATGAGATCGTGTTTGATTTACGTCCGTTCTTACCGTGTATCGTGGGGAAGGGACAAATTCCGAAACTTAAAACTTTTTTGGGTTGAACTTGATTGCAGTCAGTCTAGGTGGCCAAATTAATATAGTTTGTAAAATCCCTTTTTTGAGGTTTTTATAATCAGTAGGATCTACTAAAATATATTGAGGTTACTAAATCTGTAAAATCGCATTTTGGGAGAAACATTGAAATGTGTTACGTTTTGCCCTAACCAAAACCACATTCCCTCAGATAACCGATACCCAAAATAACTTAACCGACGCTATCCCCACACCTTTCCATGCTAATGCAAGCTTTTGATGCCTCAACCAAAGGCCGAGGGATCTATGAATGCACTCACTTATATAAGTCAAGGATGACCTTGAACTGATGGATGAAGCGGATTAACACAGATGGGGCTGTCAGTAGTTTGCCGTGGGTGACTCACCCACTAGAGTGGTGTGGTTAAAGGACTTGTGTATACAATGACAAAATCCTAACCCTCAATGAGGCGTCTTGGGGAATGCTGGACCCTCAAATCCCCTCCCCTTGAAGAAGCTGGTAGGCTCCGGCTCGTCCACTGCGTTTCGATCTGTATTTAGATGTCTTGATTAGACTTCCGGTGGCGTCGACAATTGAACTTTATCGACTAGCAATTTCTCTGAATTGGCTATCCGCTGATTTGGTGTCTCCGCGCCTGGAGTTCAACGGAGTTGTTTCCGATGTCTCAACTATGTGCTGTGAATTATCTTCACGTTGAAGATGACTCGTGCGATCGTTTCTCTGATCCATGGACCACTTCCAGATCGGCAGTCCCGTACATCCACGAGAGTTTCAACCTTAAGTGGCGTCGTAGATTCCGTGCAAGGAGGCTTCACATGCTTCCGTTTCCGGGGCCTAGGGGGCGTAGAAGTCCTTTAGGGTATCATGGTTATCTGCTGTCATTGGGGCAGATCTTAAGCAAGTCTGAGATTTGTTGGTCTAAGTGTTGCCAATAGGCCTGGCTGCGTGAGATTGACTTAGTTTGACCGATACTGGGGTGCCCAGAATGTTCTTTACAAAGGACCAGTGAGTGAAGGGATTTCGGTACGATTATGTGTTCTCCGAATACCAAGCAATTGTCTTCGAAGTGGAGGAATTCGCGTCGCTGAAGCAGCTGCTGGGCACCTATGGTGATGGTACGCTTGGACTATCTACCTTGGACGCAGCTGATGGTATGCTGCAGTGAGTTATTTACAGTGGTCTCCCGTTGGACCTCACTGACCGTGACTGGGAAGGCGTGGATTACCTGTGATAGTCTCTGAATGATGCTATCGCTATCGGGTACTGCATCACTGATGGGGACCTACGAAGCCTGCACGTCTTGGTGAATGGAGCCAAACGGGATATCCTTGGGAACCTAATTGCTTGAACCAATCCAGACTTTGGAGGTTCATCTTCATTTTGGCTACATTGTATGAGCCATTTGAGGTTGTGCCGCGGAAGGAGACATTGCACTGCACTTCTCCTTGGAGTTGCATTTCTCCGTTACAGGCACCGACTGAAGTTTGGGGAATAGGTCTTGCTGGAGGCCTACCGAGGAAGCCCCATTGTTTCTCTGAGGTGATGGTGAAGTCTGAAGCTGTGCCTAGATTCTGGTGAATTAGGTGATCATAGGTCAGGACGATGGTATACATTCTCTGCTGCTGCTGATGATGATGATGATTATTATTACTGTATTTGGAGGCGGCCCATAAGCTGAATGCTTCGATAGTGGAACCGACTGGATTGGGATTTGACCTTTGGTTTTCTGGAGGCGAGGACGTCGCTTTTTGTTGCTGGACGGGGATCATTTGCAGTGCACGTCCTTGTGTCCCATGACATTGCATTGTTGACATCGATACTGCTTGTATGGCAGGACTTCAGGACTTGACAATGTGCTTTGCCTCGCAGTGTCAAAACGCTATATGTTCTCCACCGCTAAATGATACCAACCTTATCAGTGTTATTTCTTGGATATTGATTTAAGGTTTTATATCATATTTTCTATCATGGCTTAATGCTGTGTTTTTAGCTGACTCTTCATTGATAATTTTGGAGTCCAGTTTCCGAATGATCCATTTGGTTTAAGCAGATATTTAATAAAGCTTGAGTGCGCAATGGTTGTTCAAAATAATAGCATTTGGCTTATCACCTAAAAAACCTAATTTTCGCAATCAAATTAATATTCTTTATTCTGGAATATTCTTTCAAATTTTGATGTATGAATAAAAAGCAGCAATTTGATATCTGATGCGGTAGTTCGTGGTTGAAGTTAAACGCATCGTTATTATGATAAGGTGTGCTTTTGACTCAAATAGAGCACATTTCATACAATAAACTTGATGTTAAGCGCCATGTAGTCCAGCTAACTCCAGGAAAATAGCGAATCCCGCCATATAGGTCAATGAAGACATTGGTGGACGGGACAAGTGATTCCGGGATTAACTCTTTAATTGATAACTTCAAAACTAAATTACTTTTAAGATAAAAAGAAAATTAATGCGAGTGGCCTACTAAGAAATACAACTTATTAGGGGTTCACAGTTCTGTGGCAAAAACATTTAACCCCAAAAAATTCTCTTTATGTAAAGGTGTGCTTGTTTTAGTTCAGTTCAGAAAAGAATGTCATTAAATATTTGATGTTGAATGACCTAATTGAGAAAATAGAGCATATATTTTGCTATAATTATATTAACAAATATCAGCAGCCATTTCCCCATCATTTGCTATCATTCGTATCTCAAGGAACAGTTTGGAATTTTATCCAACGAGATTTATTTGTCAGAGGAATAAATATCATAGTTTTTTTTCTACAGTTACTTTTTTAACCGCCCTAGGCTTTTGAATAACTTTCATTTGCCTCACAATATAAATGTCTTTGTTTTACTGAGTATATAGTCAGCGGGCTTGTTTTACACATCCTCATCGTCCATCAATTTTTCCGTGCAATGTCGTCTGATCCCATCTATACTCCCTTCTTTGGAATTATGGGCGCCACAGCCTCAATGGTGTTTTGCGGTTAGTTGTTAAATTGCTATTTTATTTGTTCTTAGCTTTCGGTGCGGCCTATGGCACTGCAAAATCCGGTGCTGGTATCTGCTCTATGGGTGTGATGCGCCCAGAACTCATCATGAAATCTATCATCCCAGTTGTTATGGCTGGTATCGTTGCAATATATGGTCTCGTTGTCTCCGTTGTTATTTCCAGTCGAAGTGCTGATTCAAAAATAATGGAATCGTAATGTTTTATTCCGCAAAATTACCTGATGCACTTTAGGTCCCTCAAGCAGCTCGGTGCCGGCCTCAGCGTGGGTCTTTGTGGGCTCGCGGCGGGGTTTGCCATTGGAATTGTCGGCGACGCTGGCGTTCGGGGCACAGCCCAGCAACCTCGCCTCTTTGTAGGCATGGTTCTCATTTTGATCTTCGCGGAAGTTCTTGGATTGTACGGACTCATCGTCGCACTTATTCTTTGTAGTAAATAGATTGTCATGCGCTCCCTTTCGCTTTAAATGAACTTCTAAACTTACTTGGCCCAATTCATTTATCTGGACTCCTAAATTATGTTGTACTTTAGCGTCGGGTGACTTTTGACAGCTCTGTATTTCAACCGTACTTGAAACCTAACCGCATTCCAATATTTGCGACTTGCTTTTTTTCAGTAAGTCGATCCAGATTCTTTCAGTGTAACTCTTCCAAATTGTAATTGTGGTTAACATTGAGCCGTTTTCCTCTGGACTTGAACAATGTTGTAACCATTGTGTTGAATTTACATATTTAAACGAACACGTAAGTGTTTTGTTTTTGGTTTATATGAGTATGCCATAAGGATTTAATTTACAATTCGATGGTACTCTCGTATTCCTCGTGTTTTAATTGTTACTGCTGCTCAGGTAGATGCGTATTTTTTCCCCACTGCTTCAACGTTGTTCATTGTAGTAAGCAACTCAACCAGTTGTAACTTATTTTCATGACCTACAGAATTTATGGATTAGTATGTTGCTAGTTGGGATACGAAGAGTTATTATATCTTGAAACCAATACTTGAGTTTACATTGCCTATTCTCGGTTTAAATTGTAATTTTTCGTGGATTTAATTTTTATCCAAATAACCTAGCTTCTGAAGGGTTTTCGGGCTAGACATCGATATCATGGTATCGTGGGATTTTCCTGACGTACGGTTTCGTGATAATATTCCTAAATCTTGCCTAGCTTTCACCGTTTCGATGTCGTGGCGATTTTTCGAACTGAAGTAGTCTTTTGCTTTATTTAAGATCTTGTTTTATGTGTTTTACATATTAGCAATTTGCTTACTACTATGGACTAGACATGAGACAACAAAGATTTCTTTGTGACTTGTTCTATAATGACTGGTTTTCATGAGAATTACATACGGTTATAGCTAGTTGTTTTACTGCATCTAGAAAACAGTTGTATTTACCCGCTGATTCAAGTGCCAATTCCCCTTTTTTGGATGTCACTTTACATTGGGTGTTGTAAAGTTAGAGTTTGACACTATGATCCAGTTTCGATTTGGTTGAAGAAAGTGGTGGTTTTTGCATGGTTTTCCTGTTAGACTCAATTTCTGTCGCTACTCACTTCAGATTTTTGGAACAATTTAGCCTTGATACCTGAATGTGTGTAGTGCATGGATTATGATTTAACGACGGATAGATTTTCTGTGAATTTCACTTTGTTATGCGGGTTAGAACAGCCAACTATACTCCCTCAACTTCATGACTGTCAGTTCAACTGTGCTGAAATTGAAACTAAGAAAATGTTCACGGACCACTTCGCATTACTTCCAGTTTTATTGTCACAAAGGTGGCATTTTTCAGTCCAACTTATTCCTCGCATTAGGAATCAAGCAACTACCTTTGTGTCAAAAGCATGAGCTTATTAATTGGTTGGCAATTTTATGCTACTTAGATCATATGTATGGCTGTTGATGCATGCATTCGGTTTCGTAAATGCAGTTGGGTGTTGTTTTTTATCCTCGCAGATACCTCACATAAAACGAATCAGCATGTGAATGCGTGGTGGAGTAAGGAGGTTTACGATATCACACGTTGAATGCCATTCAAACGAGAGGTTTTCCTGTCAATGAAATGCGCAGGTGCATCATGTCTCAAAACGGCAAAGCAAGAGCAGTTTGGTCGTCATGGGTTTTTTGTAGTCACAACAATACTGAAGAGTTCGCGATGTGGGCATTGAAAGTAAATAGGCTTACTGCTCTAGGTCAATCAAGCGAAGGAAATTCTGGGTGTTGATCTGCGCTATTCTTTGAGCATTTAACGAATCGGGATGCACATCTTTTTCAAAACCACTTCCTTTGAGTAGATTACTCTCAGGACCAACGGTTTTATCGGTGAGGGTGTTGCAGTCCGGCTCCATGGCACTGTGCCCCTTTCCGTGTGGCGCATTTCGGCAATGCTCATGGATCTGACGTCACTGTGAGTGTAGTCGGAGGATTCCACCTGTGTGGGTTCGAAGTGATATTCACCTATTATGACCTGTCTTCAACTCTTTTGTTGCTGTGTCGAAAACTTGTGCTTTGTCCATCTGATGAACAAAATATCCGTTTCCAGTGTTTCGCCCGATTCAAGTTACGATAAGTATCTGATAAAATTCGGCTAACTTTAATGGAATTTTACTCACTTGATTTCTAATTTCAATAATGTAATATACTAATTAATTCAAAATTTACGAATTCCGCCAGCAGGTGCGGGTTCGCCTTGTTGCCTTACTCTCGGAAATAGTCACAGCTTGTTTGTTCCTGTCAAATAATATTTCTTTGAGGAATGCTTGTTGATTAATTGTTATCTACAGATGTACGCCGATTTCAATGAGTAGTAAGTCGCATCACAATGACTCCGACCAAAGCAAAGAAGCACCTGTGAATTCTCTTGCGCTTACGGGTTGGTAAATAAATGTAAACGAAGTATACATTCGCAGTGAATGGCAAACGCCTCACGTCGTGTCAACCAATCGATAAGGCGGCAGTGCGGCCGGTAAGGCCCATGCAACAAATGCTCTTATGCCAAAGGCGCTCCTAAAAGCGCGTCAATGGTTTAGTCTACAACCATTGAGGATTTTTGCTTCTATTTTGTCCAATCAACGTCTCTTGCAGTATGTGAAGTTAAATCGGTGTTTACTAATTTTGGCATCAAGATGTTTTTCAATTCAGTGACCCATCTGAAACCTCCCATGTTTAATGGCTCTTATATTTGGTAAAACACTTAGCGAGCGTTCTGAGGTCAGGCCTAATCAACGGCAGAGGGCTGACTCTACGGGGATTCGTTCTCATTAGCTCTTGATCGATGGTTAGTTTGCGCATTTAAACGTGCTGTCTCGTGCATGGTAGGCTTAACCAAAATCAAAGGGCTAGTGGGTTGTAGTAACTTATCGAATAAACCTTTGAATAACTCAGAAACTAAATGAAATGGTATATTTACGAATGGAAATTTGAGAACGTTCGTCAAGTGACTAGTTGCTGGTTAGTAGGAAAGTTGAAGTACTGTCATTGCATGTAACAGTGATCACGTAACTGAGGTGGAGTTGATGTTGAGGTACTGGAATTGCTGATGTATCATCAATGAATGAGTCTGGTGGCGACAAAAAGGGCTTAGGAAATTACGTCGAGTCTGCTAATGAGAAATTTTAACAGGGATGCATTGACTTTTGCAAGTTTTTAAACAGATTTCTAGCACTTCGCTGCAAATGAAGTTGCATTAATTTGCTTTGAAGTATTATCCAATAAAGCATTCTCCGAAAGCCCTTCAATAAATTTTCCAACACAGGATATTTTCAGGCTTAATTGCCAATCCATTAAACCTGAAAGTTATATGACATTACTAAAATGGGTGTCGTTTGTGTATTTGAGTTATTTCATCCTCCCGAGCTTCACACAGGTTGCTAAAATTAATTAAACAATGCAGGGATCAAATATGATGTGCGTACACCTGTTTATTCACCTGATAGGTGAAACTGATTAATATACGAGAAAGTTTTAATGCGGGCGTGGGGTCGTAAACTAATATTTCTTTTTTTGGCCTACATGGGCAAATTTCGTCTCCGGTCGTTTTTAGTCACTAGAATTTTTTAAAAGAAATTAACTTGTAAGCGCTCTAACGTCAGCTAAACACGCATTTTAACATTTAGACACGAGCAAATAAGCTTCAGCCTCACCACCATAGCTGTACGACAAAAATCTATCGCTAGATCCTGTTGCTGTGTTACAAGAAATTGCTATTGAGTTGCATCAAAATTATTACACATAAACGTTCACAGCGTAAACTGAAATGCATGCGTGACTTTAAAGCAAGTAAATGGGTTTTTGAAACCCGTTTTTTGTAATTGCAAGTTTTCGGTATCCAGGGGGAGACTTGCTTATATTACATAGTATTGGCTATGCTTATAAGTAAAAAGATGATAAAATTTGTTTTTTTTATGGTCATCGACTCAGACCGTTAATAATATATGCATCAATGAAAGCAATATTACCAAATGCAAATCTCCTTAGGAGAGAGAATTTTGCTTTAATCGAATTTCGACAAATTCAGAACATCGTCCTGCGTTTTCAGCTCTCTTCAAATGTCTTGAGATTCGGATGAGAAGCATGCTTCGTGTTTAATGGAACAACTTATTAAATGACACATCACAACACCTATTGTATTTAACTAATGCTGCCGCCTTCGTATTTACATCACTATGATTTCCTGTCAAACAAAGGGTTACACTACGCCAAACGTTTCTGGCAAGAAGCTACATTAACATCGCTCAGAAATGTACATAAATGATTTTTGCATGCTTTTAGACCTCTCCTGTGCAAAATATCATACATCAAAAAAGGTGCAACGTTTTGATTTAAGATGTGAATTTCCACAAGGTTAATTCTATTTAAGACATGGTTTTGCTTTGTACATATATGGTTTTATAATTTTAAAGCTATGAAGATAAACTTTGTAGGTTTATCGTTATGAAAATATTTTAACTGATATGACCAACATTTAAAAACATGTAAGATGCAGAGCACGAAGAATGACCCCGCGGTTGTTCAGCTAAATATTTGTGCTCACATGGCCATCCAAAGTGAAATATTCCAGCAAAAGCCACCCTGCTTAAATTTGAAATTTATTGACAGAAAATTGACTTTGTTTGGCAATCAATCTCAAAATGTTATTATCACCATTTTTTCTGATCCAGATTAGGGGTAAACTGGTTAACCTTTCCTAACATTTTGGTCATTACTTGACGTTTTATAATTGTTCAAATTAAAAATTGTTTTTACTTTTAAATCTAGATGAATCCTTTTAGAAAACCATTGTAACACGCAGTTAGGTCATAAGGTGGTTGGATAATTTAACAACTGATTCCAGATAAACAGTAAACTTAAGAGTCTTTTCATTTCGCATGCATTTTCTTACTGTGTTTTCTAATATTTACGCAACATTAGTTACCTGATGCCTTCGGGCCTTAACCTTATATTATAAACTTTTTCTCATGATGTCCATTCTGAGTTACCATATTTCCTTTAGTCTACATACCAGGTAAATCTTCGTAAATGCGACGCAAAACATGAATTTGGGTCAAGTTTTTTTATGATTTTTTTGAAATCCGTTATCCACCCAAATTCCTTGAAGTTTTATTTTCCTTTCTGTATGTTAGCTGAAACAGCCACAATGACCAAGGTCAGAACTTATGTGCAAGAAAAAAAATTTGAACCTTTTATTATTCATTTTATACCACCTTCTTATTTTGTAAGCTTAAATGAAATTCCGTTTTTTGTGTTCACACAGATTCGCAACAGACCTCCGAGCCAATAGAAAATCAAGGTAACTGTCCGTTACTCTTAGCCGAAATAGTTGCAATTCGTGGTATGCACGTTGGCTCCGCATATTTCTGAAGTCAATGGCTCACCCACCAACACAGGAAAAGCTCACGCGTATTGCTATTGTCAGCAGTGACCGTTGCAAGCCTAAAAAATGCAAACAGGAGTGCAAGAAGTCGTGCCCTGTTAACAGAATGGGTAATATTTCTTTGCCTAATTAACATGAATGTGTTCAGGCAAGCTATGCATTGAAGTAACACCCCAAGATAAGATATCTTACATCTCGGAAGAACTATGCATTGGATGTGGTATCTGCGTCAAAAAGTGTCCATTTCAGGCCATAACTATCATCAACTTGGCAAGTAATCTGGAAAGCCAAATAACGCACCGATTCGGGCCTAATTCTTTCAAACTCCACAGGCTTCCCATGCCACGTCCTGGTGAGGTACTTGGTCTCGTTGGGACCAACGGCATCGGGAAATCAACTGCCTTGAGGATTTTGCACGGAAAACTAAAGCCTAACTTGGGTCGCCACAGGGTGGGTCATTTGATCGCCTTCATGCTAGGTTCCTTTGGTAGTTTCAGTTTTCGACTGTGTAGTATTCTGGTCAGGGATCTTGCAGGTCCTACTTGTCTATGCTTATTTCGAGGGCATTTTCAAATTATGAGTTAAGAATATATATCCTTTTTTCAACAAACTTTTTATTTTAAGGATCCTCCTGATTGGACTGAAATTTTGACCTATTTTCGTGGGTCGGAGCTCCAGAATTATTTCACGAAAATTCTCGAGGACAATTTAAAAGCTGTTTCAAAACCCCAATACGTTGACCAAATCCCTAAGCTCGTCTCAGGGAAGGTGATAGATCTAATGAACCGGAAGGACGATCGTGGCAATCAGGAAGAAATCCTCGATGTTCTAGACCTAAAAAATTTAGTTGACCGACAAGTTAGCGAACTATCTGGTGGTGAACTACAGCGGTTTGCTTGCGCCATGGTCTGCATTCAAAAAGCCGATATTTATATGTTTGATGAACCAAGTTCATACCTCGATGTCAAACAGCGTCTCAACGCTGCTATTACTATTCGAAACTTGCTCGACGTATGTTTTACGATATTTTACTTATGTTGCTTCATTCCAGAAATCAAATTATGTCGTTGCAGTGGAACATGATCTTTCTGTGCTTGATTACTTGTCCGATTTTATATGCTGCCTTTATGGAGTTCCGGGTGCGTACGGTGTTGTCACCATGCCATTTTCTGTCCGTGAAGGTATCAATATTTTCCTCGATGGTATGGTTCCAACCGAGAATTTGCGGTTCCGTGACGTTCCTCTGGTTTTCAAGGTATTATTTAGTTTAAGCAATCAAAGCTATCGTCCGGCGCCCCCTTTATCACTTTCTGTTTAGGTTTCTGAAACCGGCAACGAAGAGGAGGTTAAGCGTGTAGCTCGGTACGAGTATCCGCCAATGACCAAGTCGCTAGGTTCGTTCAAGCTTGAGGTTCAGGCCGGGACCTTTACGGATTCCGAAATTATTGTGATGTTGGGTGAAAATGGTACTGGTAAAACCACATTCATTCGCATGCTTGCGGGTAGCCTCAAACCTGATGATGGAGTCAAAATGCCACTACTAAATGTCTCCTACAAGCCGCAGAAGATTAGTCCCAAGTCGGAGAAGACTGTTCAAAATTTGCTCTACGAAAAGATGCGTGCAGCTTTTACTCACCCACAATTCTCTACCGATGTCCTCAAGCCTCTTCAAATGGAAAGGTTATATGATCAAGAGGTAGGCTGTTCTTTATTCGATGTCCTGATAAGCTTGTGATCTGATTGAGATGCCACCTCTCTCTTCATGACAATGACAGAAATGGCCAGATCACTTTACATCTAGCCTTTGTTTGTCCTCCTTTTATTAACTGTTTGCCTTCATCTGTTCTTTATCCTTCGAAAATACTTTAGTGTAAATGAGAAGTGTTAGTTGCTCTATTTTAAAAGGCACTGGCCAGTTTCGCGTGTCAACCTCACACTGTGTCATATATATCAAGCTCGGTATGCTGTTTTAATTTCGCTCAATCCTAGTCCTTGTAAGTTCACTGACGTAGGTGTTTAATCATTACATTAACAGTCTTATGTTGATGCCTTAACGGTCGGCTCATAAGTGGTACGTGCGCACTCCCTTTAAACATCGCCGTTGGTACCTGGAATGTACTGATCTGTGTGTCATTCTTCACACATTATTGAGTGCTTATCTTTGGAGTTTGTAAAAGTCGCGGCGCTTTGTTTTGGCCCCTGATATTTAGGACTACATTAATTTCAATTCCCGATGGACTAAAGCACAGGCCAGAATCTTGCAAGCTGAATTCACTTTCTGTTAAAATTATCGCCGCCTCAATCCGGTTTTACGAATGTTAATGAAAAATTCATTGTCGTCCACTTTTCCACATTCACTTACTCGACTAGTATGAGATATTTGGCACAAAGATTTACATTTTATTCACATTCGCGCGTCCTTTCCAGTTGTTCATTCGCTGTTTTTGTATTAATGAAGACAGCCAAGCTGCGGCGCAATTGACCTGTGAACATTACAAACACACACACAACATTTATGGGACACAATCGAGACCCAGAACTGATCTCTCACTATAACCAGAGAATATTGGTTTGTGTTTGTAGTTGGCCTTATTTTAATCATTCTTATAAGTTTTAGTGAAGAGGATTATCCAAACCATGTTTTATTAACTTGACTAAACCAAGTCGATAACTGGCTGCTTCCAAACGGGGCGAAATCACCGTGCTTGAATTTCGGTCCGTGATGTAAACCTTAGTATGAACGATTTGCAAACCATTCAGTTGTCTCCTTGACCTAAACCTGGCTGATGAACCAATAATTTTTAACATGCAAAGTCGATTTTTATTAGCGTGTATCATTACATCAAATTCTCAACTTAGTGGTTTTGTCTTCGTGTAGGTATTAAATCTGTCCGGTGGAGAGTTGCAGCGTCTTGCAATTACGTTGTGCTTGGGTCAACCAGCTGACGTCTACCTGATCGACGAGCCCTCCGCCTACCTGGACTCTGAACAGCGTCTGCACTGTGCCAAAGTTATCAAACGCTTTATCATGCACGCCAAAAAGACCGCGTTCATTGTCGAGCACGACTTCATAATGGCCACTTACCTGGCCGATCGAGTTGTCGTCTTTGAGGGCACTCCTGGTGTTCACGCCGTAGCTACCAGGTAAGCATTTCGGTCCCCAGTCACGGAACAAATCGCTTCTGTGGCTACTTTGTAAGCTTTGCTTTCTCTCTCCAATTTCTCTCGTCTGCTGCAATGGGGTATTAAGGCTTGGTGTTGTGTGCTTGTAGAGAAATGATTCTCAAATAACTCGCAATGCTACTTTCATTGACAGGCGCATTTTTCAAGTTGACGTTAATTAAAAAAGCTGCCTCGGTGTCAGTTTGGCCTGTTCTCCAGTGTACTCAATACACTGTGTTTACATAATCATGTTTTTCCATGACGTTATTTTGTAAACAATTGGCATATTTATCGCCTTGATCTGACAGGTTAGGTTTTTCATGATAAATTACTCCTGTGAAGTTTATCTGCGTCGAAATCCTCGTCTTGGGGCGCAGAGACTGCAAAACTATCAATTTTGTTGGCTTTTTTTTGAATTCATAGTCCGCAGAACATGGTTTCGGGGATGAATCAGTTCCTTCAGGCTCTAAACATCACGTTCCGTCGCGACTCGCGTAACTGTCGTCCTCGAATAAACAAGCTGAACTCCGTGAAAGATGTGGATCAGAAACAATCCGGCAACTATTTCTTCCACGAGGACTAAGTGATTTTCTGTCATTTTATATCTCGTATGCCAAATTCCAATGTCTGCGACTGCGTTCGCTTGTCCTAACGTTATCTGAAGTACCTCACTTGGCAGACTAAACAGCGAATTTCTTGTGGTGTTTGAATTTTTGTGGAGTTTACACATGTGGCCATTTATTTGCTGACTGGAAGCCAATTGATCTCGCGAAAACGGAACCAAAGAGTTGGGGGTATTCGTAGTTACTCACTTCGGTAATTAAGTAATATTGGTTTAAAGAAACTCCGTACGTAATTTACGTGAACTGAAAAATTACAGAAGGGCTTTCAAGTTGAATCCCGAGAACAGTATAGACGTTTCCTGTAAGTCAGGATCGATGAGTTGAATCATTTAGGTGCTGTGGATCTGCCAGTTGCTGCTTAATGTTTGATCAGTCAAGTTCGCATGCAGAACATGTTTCTTTACGGTAAAACTGGTGGTTAAAAGAACTCTTCATACTGCTTCTGCTTAAAACTTTTGAGATGCGAGGTTGAATGGAACCTGCTTTCCAGATTCCTCTGGGGCATCTCCAGCTGCTGTCCCTTGTTGGGTTTGGCTAATTGTGCTCCAGCGCCTTGTGCACCCTTTATTTTTGAAGGTCGTTAGCCTTGTGCTCAAAGCGAATTCCCCCGCTAACCTCTTTGTCTTTTGTCCTTAATAATGCAGAACTTAAAATCTAATATTGCAGTTTGCTAAATAGGGTGTAGGTTTCTAGGAATGCCCTTGTTAGTTGCATTTGCGTTAAACCGTTGCAACCAATCGGTGTTACCATCTCTACTTTCCATTCACTAACTTTGTTAGAGGTTTACCTGTGTAAAAAGACCCCGGTTCCGCCGCTCAGACTGACACCACGATCGATTATGTGAAAAGAGCAAATCGGTTGGGAACGTTTTAAACACTTGTGCGTCATCTCGGCGATGTCTATTAATGTTACTAAAGTGTCGAACAACTGCTAGATTGTTCATTTTCATCCTGCAATTTTCTGTTCACTTCCTGTTTAGGACCTAACCCCATTGCTGTGTTCACAAGTCATCATGCAAATATGTTCACGCTTACACATCATTGGCACAGAATACTTAGATGATGAATAAACCGCTCTGACTACTTTGTTTTTTGTCTGTATTTTTGTTGTTAACAGCATGGGGTCGCAAGCGGGGTTTGAACTGGGAGTAATAAGGTGGCCGTGGTTGTTTGGAAGAATCTTAATCACTTTGCTGTGCAATTAAATGGAGTGTGGAGTTGTTTTTCGTTAATTCTGCCAAGAGAGGTATAGCATCATGGTGCATGACGGAATGAAATTTAGTGGGTCCGTGCATTCCTTAAAGGCCCTGAGTCATTAGGCACAATCTTTCAGTTGATGCAGGTGCTGCCTCTCCATTCCTATGGACAGCCATAGAGCAGCCGACTTGGGGCTAACCTGCTGACTCGAAACCATGAGCCCTTTAAATGGAAATGAATAATCTTCATGAGTTTCTTGCCGTGCGTTTGTTCGATGTGTTGGCCTCGCAGTAGCTCACTGCGCACTTAGCATGCGGTGTTACACTGGTTCGGGTCTAATATTGTTGCATTTATGACTGCCGAGAAACAGTAGACGTAGTTGGAACTTCGATATTTGTCCTGGCGGTTCGGAAACAATAAGTTCCATAAGCTTAGATTGCATCGATGTCTGTAGTTATGCGAAGGTTGGATGCCTGGTATTATCTGCACAGAGATGGAGCAGAAACCTTTGGACAGATTTAATGATGTATTTCGTTCGTGAATGATCGGGTGCGTGGTGTGAGTAGCTGTTTCGGGAGTCGCCAACGTGGAAAGCGGAGCATGTAAACACAACCTACCAGAGTCACATTAAAATAGATGGCACTCTGTAGGGACTAGAACTTCAAGAATTTGAGAACGTTTTTCATTCGATCAGACAAACATTAATTGAGAACTTCGAGCCATGACAGTACTTAAAGTGAAATATTAGATGTGAGACTAAGGACGATTTTAATCTTAGAACTATTGTCCATCGTTCTCTATGACCTTGTTCCATCTCTCAGGTAGCGTACGAATGCCGTTGCGAAAGAAACTTGCAGACTTTGAGACATTAAAGTCATCGACAAATTTGTGCACATCGTTCAGCATTTCGATCTAATTATCCATTAAGGCGTGCTGCCGCACTGCCCGGAACAAATGGTAGTCGGATGGGGCCAAATCTGGTGAATATGCCGCGTGTGGGAGAGCGCTTCCCATCCCAAATTTTAGAGGGTCTTCTGAGTCGCGGGAGCAACTTGAGGTTGAGCTTTGTCATGCAGCAGCAGTATGACTTGCCTCCTTTTTGCCCAATAACTTGCCTTTCCTGATTAAGGTCTTTGCTCAATTTATTCACCTGTTGGCTGTAGCGCTCCGTAGTCACCGTCTGACGACCAGTTTCCACGAGTTCGTTATAAAGTACACCCTTCATGCCCCCCCACCAGATACACAGAAGAACCTTCTTCTTCAAGTGGATGTCCTGTTTCGTTGTCGATGACCTAGTGGGTTGCCCGGTATCTATTCACGACTTTTTATGTTCAATGGGTACTCTGAGCGTAGACCGTCTCAAAGCTGCTTATGCGGAAGACACCAACGTTCCTTCCACATGCTCAAGCAACGACCAACCCGCTCTACAATCTCCCGTATCCCCACCCTGCACAACATCCCGTTTTGGCCGACCCCTGAGACCCGTTGTTCGTTTTGCTGATTCCGTTCGATAATTTTCGAGCGTTTACCGCTTCGACAGCTAACCCTCTCGGGGGAAATATTTGTAGCGGATTAAGAGCGTTCGCGCCTGGTTACCGACATGACGGTGACAGTGGTTACTGTATCAGATACAGTGGTTACTTACTGATACAGTGGTTACTGTATCAG